CCGCCTACACATGGGTGAAAAGAGTACTGACTACATAGCAGGTGTCATTACTGCTCGAGCTTGCTGCCTGCGTTGAGTTCAAACCAGACGGGATGACGAGCTGGAGAGGAGATGGCGAATGGGTCTGTAAAGCAGAAGCCATCTATAGAATAGAACACAATGAAAAATTGTTGAATTACTAGCAACGCTAACCCTGAAACGCACTGCCTCATCAACAGGCGACAGCTCCTTGCCAACTCTCGAGTCACTTGAAGTGTGATGCTGCTCTTCTGGGTCACAGGAAATCGCGAACCGAGGTAGCGGTGATCTAATACAGCGCGGGTCAACCAACTACATGGATGTACCTCTTTGTGCTGTTACCTTCTCGAATCCATTCCGACAACGACTGTGCTCACGTGTGACGCGTCCATGCTACTGTCAGTTGAAGAGCAGGCGGTGTTTTGGCAACCGGTGCCAGTAGTGCCACTTGACGATGTCGAAATGTTTGCTTGACGCTGTGCAGAGAATCGGCGTCTTAGTAGTATTGCCTGAAATGGTTAACGAATTATAAAGGTCTCAATTCAACCGACATCTAATAAATCACTAATCAAATTTCAAGAAAAAAGAAGAAAATCAGATCAATGATTACGATTCTCAAGATATAAAATGAAATATTAAACATTTGAAAACCACCAGATAATACTACGAGAAATCATATGATACAACGACCAGAAGTGCTAGCAAATACACAAGTTCGACCAGTAATCAACGTGCAGAAGAATTTTTCAAATAGAGGACATATATTTACCGCGCCTGATTGCAAAGCAATTCTGCGTTTTACGCAACGTTAAATTTCCATAGTCTTCGGTAGGAAAATGTTCAACAGCTTGTACGAAAAATGTGAAGTTGACTATGCTACTGGGGCTGTCATTGAGTTACTATATCATTATTCGTGATTTTTTTCAGACGCTTATTCCCCGCACTTCCATTATATTTTGATTGAACGTTGTAAATGGATGAAAGCTTTCTCCTTACTCTACATGCTTCGTAATTCTATCATTCGAGTTTGTTTCACTTATTGGGCCAAGAATTGAGAATTTATGTTAGGTTTTTTCCGTGAATCGCAGCTTCTTGAATATTTGAAAACAGTTTCTTTAAAGTGGCAGCACCATGTCAATCAAAGTTATCGATTTACTTTAACTTATGTAAGGGAATCAGTCGGGAAAGACAATAAACCTCTACAGCAAAGTTAGAATATATAGACAGTTAAACCCCTTTCAATCCTTTAAATTCGGATGGACTACGGTGGAGTGTCTTGAAGGAAGGCCAGGAATTAAATTCAGCGAATCAATCTCTATCAACATCACAGGAATCCTATTTCTTCCACGAGTGGAACGAATAATATAAGCCCGTCTGCAGTTTTCGTTCACGTTTAAAAAGCGAAC